AAACAAATATGCAATAAGCGAGCTCAAATACAAAAAGACTTCCTTCCAAACTTGTCATATTGCCATAATTGATAGAGAATGTGTCAGGATAGCTATGGTTGAAACACCAGGGTAGCCAGGCGCTGGTGGCTCACCCCTATAATCCTAGCTACTCAGGAAGCTTAGATCTGAGGATCACTGTTAAAGCCAGCCCAGGCAGGAAAGTCTATGATACTCATCTCCAATAAATCACCAGAAGACTGGAAGTGGTGCTGTGGCTCAAGTGGTAGAGCACTTGCCTTGAGCTGAAAAGCCTAGGGAAAGTGCCCAAGCTCAGAGTTCAAGCCCTATGACTGACCAAAAAAAAAAAAAATCAGGGTCTTGTTCCCTCAGAAATCTAGCTCAATTTTCTGCCAACAAAGTGAATGAAACTTATAATCTCTTTTTATTCAGTGCAGGAAACAGGCATTAATGGTCAATGTGATACATGGAATTGGTAATGCAAAATGATTTCTTACCTAGCTAAATGCAAAGAAGCAAGAACAATCATTTTTCTCCATAAACACAGAAATTAGACTTTGTCAAACAGTGCTCCAATCTACAACTTACAGCGTTAGAATATGAGATGACAAAATGACCAAAATCATGCCCATCTATCATTTTCTTATACAAACACAGTTTCTCAAGCCACTCTACCTGATATAACCCAATAGCCTTTATTAAATGTAGATTTTTACCATACATCACTGCAATTTAACTTTAATTTTGTTGGCCATGTGGAAGGAAAGATTTTGGTGATGTTTTTCTTCATTTCTTTGGCAATAGCATGATCTTATACAGTATAAAAGATATTCAAATAGATTGTACCAGGCTTACTAGACAGCAAAAAAAAAAATAATCAGAAGTGTGGTACATGGGACAAACAAGAAGGCCCAGGGAGTAAAGGTATTAAGGATTAAGGACACTTCAATTGTCCTAATTGGAAGAGAAAGACAATTTGCATTTCTAAACTCAAGAGCACTACAGAAGCTTTAAAATTATTTGAGGCTGACTTTTCCAGAAAGAAATAATAGATCACCACAGTGACCTTATATGCCCTTTGTTCTCAAAGAGTAAACTCATGTCATGGTTACTCAATGCAGTAACAAAACTAAATAAGACATAGAGGAGTATTAGAGGAGCCCCTGCACTTCTGGTGACAAGGAAATGTGCATAACAATTAAATTGAAGGTGCAGATTACTGTGCAACAACTTGGTTTTAGGATTTAATACCAACAAAATCGACAAGAGACCCTTAGACTAAGGCAGCTCTAATTACTTCTTAACCATTTTTCCTTTTCCTTGATGAAAAGAAGAGTTAAAGAAGAGAGGAGTGGTCAACCTTCAGCCACTCACACAGAAGGAAAATAAATTGGCTTATTTAAAAAATATCAACTCTTATTTTCAAATTAAAAGAAACAAAACATATTTTAAGCAAAAAGGGAGTTTGAATGTTACAAAATCCAACAGGAGACACAATTTTCTTAAGACTCTAGGGGACTTATTCCTCCAGAGAAGGGCTTTAGTAAAGGTTGTCTGGATAGGCTACTTCTTAGCATGAAATCACATCATAAATGCCATTGTTTGGTTAAAGAATATATTACACTGGATATTTTAATGTTATGTTGGAATGGACTTTTTCATTGTGTCAAAATTCTTCCTTTAAAGCGTCCACTATTATTAAATGAATTCACTTAACTATCAGTGTATTTCTGTTTAACCTGGCATTATTTCTTCTTGGTATTAAGATTTTCTGTTTGGTATGTCAATACAATAACAGTTAAAAGTGAAAAAAGAGAACATATTACATTGGAAAACTACTCTGGCAGCTTGAGTCTCGGTAGATACGCTACTGTCTAGTGTATAAGTGTTGGGTTTTTTTTTTTGCTAATATAGGATACACAAAACAATACATACATTTCTATTCTAGGGAAAGGAGATGGGTTAATTTATTTTTTTGTAGTCTCAACATTTCGACTTGGGGCCTTGGCTTTGCTCAGCTTGCTTCCTGGGTTTGCTTGCTTACTTGGCTTGCTTGCTTTGCTGGTGCTCTGCTACTTAGCCACACTTCCAGTCCTGCTTTTGAGTTATTTTAGAGATGTCTTTGAATCATGATCCTTTTGATCTCAGTCTCCTGAGTAGCTAGGATTACAAGTAGGAGACACTGGTGCCTTGCTGAGACTGATTTCTCGATCCACACTTTGTTTACTTTGCCACCTCCACCACCTTGCCTGAAATTTGGAGTCACCTGCACTCCTAATACAACCTATGCTCTGTTACTTTATTTAGTGAATACATATACTACACACACACACACACACACACACACACACACATACACACGTGTGTGGGGGGGTGGTTTATAGTTTTTTCCTTACATACCTTGAATCAACGCTTGGTAAATCCTATTTGCAGAGCAATCTTCCCATCCTTCCCCACTTCTTGTTTTCATAAACAGAAAGAACATTTGCCTGTTCTCCCTTTCTGTAGAAAGGTTTGCTTTTGTTTTTTTTCCTTGCTGGTTGGTTCCCCTCTGTCAAGTTTTATGTGGAATTTTCAACTTTAAGGACAACACAGACATTGTCTCTTAATCTGCTCAACTTTTTCTTGGAGTTTAATATTCTTGTTATGTATAGTCTGTGGACTAATTTCTTCTTCAATTCATTATTTTGGCAGCCTATGGTCACTGAAGCCAAATATTTGCATTCTTTTTATGGGGTCTCTCAGGAAGTCTGCAGTATATTTTATATATTTAACATGTATTGGCTGGAGGCTTCTGGAAACTGGCTATTCTATGTATTTCAACATTGTAAAAGAACAAAATCTAGTGACAGCACTGAGATTTGTCAGTCAGAATATCAATGATGACAAAGGAGCTGAGCAGTTTAAGAGGTGACATACTTTTACATTTGTGCTCCAAACCAAATCCAAGGAAGCAATCTTGTGAGGTATCACCTTTTACTTTTAAGCAGAGAGTAAGCTGAGAACTTTCCTTTCCAAAGTCAATTGTGAAATGACAAATGTCATGGTGGACGATAAAAGAAGATCAGGTTGCAGACCAAGGACTTAGAAAGGGTGTGGGAGTGGAGGTCCCTGTGTGTTAAATACATGTCATTAGCCAGAAAGATTCCAGTGGCAGCAAAGGTAGAAATGCTGCAGGTGTAGACCATACAGAACTGGAGAGTAAAACTGCCTGTGCCCAGTCTTCTCTGTAAATCATTTAGGATGATAATACTATTCGGTTTGGGTGCCATTCTCTCTCTCTCTATCTCTCTCTGACAGAAACAGAGTCAGAGACTGAGGACACAGAGAGGCAGAGACAGAGATAAAGGAATCAAAGAGAAGAGTAAAGGCATCAAGCTTTTACTCAGGATATTCTGAGTGTGTCTGAGTGTTCAACTTTCAGATCATGCATTAGGAGTGTCAAGGAGCTAATCCCTCCAAACACATTCTCATATTAATAATAAATAAAGATAAAAACTCTTACAAGATTAGCCTTTCAAAGAAAAGGCAACAATAAGTATTGAGAGAATGTTTTCATGTCTTTGAAGCATTGTAACTGTATTCTGTTTTTAGTCCTACTGAATACACACACACGCGTGCGCATACACACACGTGCATGCATACACACATACATATATAGACATATATATGTGTATATACAATATTTGATTTTTACAAGTAGTTTGAGTTAATTCTTCCCAATCTGGAATGCTCATTTGCCTTGAAATCTTTATCTGCTTCTTTACTGATTTATTGCTTAACTCTCCTATTGCTTAATTTAAATCACAGGTAAGCATTACTTTCTATGCATTCCTCCCCCATTTTCCTGAGCTCAGGAGCAAAAGTTTGTATTCAGGAGATTCCGGTGAGTTAGTAAAGAAAATAAAAATGAAGTCCTTCATCAGTGGAAACTTTTGAGATCCTCTCCAGCCTCTTTCCCCATCTACCCATCTTGCAGTAGCACTGGCTGGGTGGGGTTCACTTCATTTCCAGCTCTATGTGTGGGCCTTAATTGTCTAAAACAATTCTGGTCTATATATAGTCCAGCCAGAATGAAGCCCAGGACTTTTGTTCTATAGTTGTAAGGAGTTTTCTCTCATTATATATGTGATGACTAGAGCCATAGTAATTAGTTTGTTAATGTGGAGGATGCCAGCTGGACTGTAAAGTCAATATCGAGAAGAGCATTATCCAGACTGGAAGCCTGAAATCTGACTATAGCATGCAAAGACAAATGTTGAAAGGTGTAGATATTTGAGTCCATATATTCCATTTATAGTTTTTTTGTTTGCCTTTTTTTCTTTTGAGACAGGATCTTGCTATATTGCAAAAACTGGCCTTGAATTTATGATCTCCCTCTTTTAATCTCACAAGTGCTGGCATTACAGGTTTATTCCAACATCTTGGCTTTCCCAGCATAAGTTAAGCTAGGCCAGAAAATGAGCTATTCTATTCCTTATATGCTGCATCTCTATCATCTGTTGAGTTCACCCTATTTTAAAATCTTTGAGGGCTGGGATGTAGCTCAGTGGCAAAGCACTTGCCTAGCAAGCGCAATGTCCTGGGTTCGATCCCCAGTACCAAAAAAAGAAAAGACAAAAAAAATACAGTTAAAATCTTTGAGACACAAATATTTGTTTGTCTTTTTACAACTCAATTTATCAAGAGAAATTGCAGCACTCTTGAGGACAGATATACGCTAGTGTTATCATTAGATATTTTTGCTGCTTCTGCTGCTTCTAATGGAAGTCATATTCTCAAGTGGTAAAATAAAAATTTAAGACTCTTACTACACTTTTGAATCAAAATAATTAGTGTTCTTATGTACTTAGAAGTAATATGGACTTTTAAATTTTGACTTAGAGATCAAACATTTCCTGAGCATGTTAAATTCATTTTCTACTTGTGTATAGGTGGGAAGGTATTATTTCGCATATCATTGCTTGGTGTTTTTCTGGTAATCTATCAATTGTAGATACCTTTTCGATGAAACTGAAGAGATCCCAGCAGACAAATAGATTTTAGCATCTCTGTTGTGTACATTTCTAAGCAGCACTGCAGCTGGATGTAAAGTCGACAGATTTCTGGATGAATTTCACCATCTTCTGGGCTATAAAAGAATGAAAGAGAAAAGTTGTGAGTAGCCTCAAGATTTTACTCATCAGACATTTGTTTCACTCTGAGAGGAGAAAAATGCTTCATAAAGATTCCATTAAAGCCTTGAGTCTAAAATATAGGGCTTCACGCTTTCCAGCCAATAACCAATGTGACAGTTGTTACATAACTGTCTTTCTGACTAACTCTCTTCATCAGCAAGCTTCTGCTGAGAACTTGAAATCATAAATGCTTTAAGTAATTGCAAAATATCAGACGTTTTCAGTTTATCTGTTGGAAGAAATTTCCCAAATATATTTAAGCCATAACAATCTCAGACTGTAAAAAGAGAATAAAATCCTTGTTTTTTAGGGAAACTAACAAGATCTGTTCAATTAACATTTGTAAGTCAACTCTTTAATATGAGGTACCCAGCATAATATGATTAAAGAGCCAATTTACAAATTATTTTTATTGAGGATTTTTATCTTAGTCTACAACATATTCCTTTATTGTTTGCTATGACTAATTTATGAAAAGTCCAAATGTTTTTTAATAAAAAATAAATATTTTATGAAAAAAGAGAAATCTAATATAATTCTAATAATTGTACTGAGAAATCCAAAGCTAAATGAACACTGAACTCAGGCTCAAAGAATTTATTCTAACTGGGTGTCAACAGCTTATGCCTATAATTCTAGCTACACAGGAGGCTAAGATCTGATGATCATGGTTCAAATACAACCCAGCCAAAGTCCATAAGACTTTTATCTACAATTATCTACAAATTATCTACAAATTATCTACAACTGTCTACAAATACCAGCAAAAATGTAGAAGTGGGTCTGTGGCTCAAATGGTAGAGTGCTATCTTTGAGTGAAAAAGCCAAGCGAGAGCACAAGGTCCTAAGTTTAAGCCTTAATACTAGCACATGCATGCACACACACAGGCACACACAGGCACACACACACATACACACACACACACACACACACACACACACACTACTCCCTGAATGTTTCCCAGTATATGTCATTAAATATGCAATAATCACCTGTATCTTTTGGCTAGAGGAGGAGAAATCCATTGTTGATAAAATAACTTTATTTGATATGCCACTAAAATAGCATATGTTGACCAATATAAACTAAATAACAAGGGTGATGTTTATAAATAGATTTTAAATGAAAGACAACTTGAAAATGAAGTCTGTCAAGTGTCTTTATTATTGCTCCTTTTACCCCCATCCATTTAGAATGCAATGAAATCTGATTAAATAATGTAGCATTTTGACTTGATTTATAAAAATAAAGTGGGCCAGTGGCAAAATGTCAGGGATAATTATCAGAAAAAAAGGATAACTTCCTTTTTACATGGAATCACAGTGAAACGTTTTTGTATATATCCCACACTTGGCAATGGTAATTAATTTTCATTTTCAATATTTCTCTAGCCAATGAACAAGTGTATAACTAACCATATGGCTTATATAACTCAGGAAAAGCCAAGTCTCTGCTTCAGTATTCGTGACGCCTGCACAGTCACCCGGGGTCTTTCTGGGTCATGTAGAACAAAGTGCTTTCAAGAACTGACATGCAAAATTTGATTTGATGTAGACATGAGAAGACCATGCTACCATTTCATTTTCTCATTTGCCCTCAGGGACCAGCCTTGGACCAACATTGATAGCCAGGAATCTCAGGTGAAAGTTTCAGGTATTCTCCTACAACTTCTTCCCACAGACACCTTCCACCTTCAACTCACCTTCAGGCTGAAGGCATTTCTGCCAGCCCACTCTATCCTACACAGACAGACAGACAGACAGCAGACAGACAGACAGACAGACAGACAGACAGACAGACACACACACACACACACACACACACACACACACACACACACACAATTTCGAATGTATTCAAACTGGAAATGTCTCTATCTCCCTCCACCAGCCCTGTTAGATCCTAAACAATTGATGAGAATGAATAGCTTTATAATAACAAGTGATATAGGTATATTATCTGAGAATATATTGCTTTTCATAGAAAAACTGAAGAGACTGTCTTATTCCGAAGGCAAGTTAGAAGGAAAGTATTTTAAGACACCCTGCTTCATCATTCCAATCACAGCTGCCTGTTCTCACCCACGCATAGGTTAGCCTGCAGATTAAAGAAACAAGTCCCTGTGATAATTCTATTATGTGTATTAAGCATTTTATAGGTAGGACAATTAGCCAGCATAGTATCATTTCAGGCCATGAGGTCTTATTATTTTCAGAGACAAAACATACATGCCAGTGACTTAGATCCAATAAGTATGTAAACCTCGTGTATAAACAATATTGGACATCAGTTGACATGCTGAAAGGAAACCTCTTTGTACAACTATTTAAAGATGATGCAAATGATTAATAGAAAGTATATTTGATTTAATTTAAATAAATGTAACAAGGTATTCACGTATCATAAGAGCCAATATATTTTATCATTTTACAAATAAAAAATGTTCTATTAAGTGATTTTGAAAAAAAGGCAAGTCAGAACAGAGATTGAAGTATCTAATTCAAAATGTTTCCTCAGGCATCACTTCCCCAACACCTCTGTCTCCCTTGGAGATTCTAGAAAACCATTCTAGAAAAATATTGTGCCTTTCCTAAGTGTTATGTGGAACTGAACAGATTTTACCAGAAATAAAATCTGCCTAATAAAAATTAAGTGATGTTAAAGAATGCAAGATATTCTGCTTATAATTTATTCACAGTCTCATATATTACACTTTAATATCTTGGAAAGTTATAGAGAAAGTATTTAAAAACCAGTAAAAAAGCTAAGGTAACTTTCATACTAGTGTTTTGTGATGCCATACCAGCTTATATTAACCTCTTGACTTTTACAGTTTATTTCTTCCATTTTAGAGCTCTAAAAACTACATTGCTGTAATTGATTAAGAGACAAATTGTCCAGTGGGTTATAATATGTAATTGAAAGCATCAAAACAAAGACAGGATTATGAGTTCTGGAGCCAGAAAACAGATTTACAAATACCTTTAATACTCAGAACTGTGATCTGAGGCACAGCACTTTAATTTCTCTGAGATTCAGTTTCCTCTTTTGTGAAATAGCAATAACAGTTGTAAAATATATCTCCAGGTTTCCTGTGCAAGGATCAAATGATATTGTGCATGGGAAAACAAATAAAAATGAGAAGAATTCTAAAAAAGTTGCCACAGTCCATCTTACATCAGAATTTGTGTTTCCTTGGCCTTACACTTAGAATCCTTGGAATCTTTAACTGAAATTATCTGCTGCTTTTTATTTACTTACACTCTCCAGATAGGGATTTGGTGAAGTTAACATTCGAGTAGATGGAAAAAAGAAAGGGACCTCATTAACAACCACGCTGCATGTCACAGATTCTGGCAATGACAAATAAGCAGTTTTTTTTCAAACGTGCTAGCAGTTTGATTTATTTCCAGAGAAAAGAACATGTCATATATGTCTCAAGTGTTTGAATACTAGCCTTGAGCAAAAAAGTTCAGAAACAATGCCCAGGCCCTGAGTTCAAGGTCCAGGACTGGCAGCAGCAGCAGGAGGAGAAGAAGAAGAAGACGAAGGAGGAGGAGGAGGAGGAGAAGAAGGAGGAGGAGAAGGAGAAGGAGGAGAAGGAGAAGAAGGAGGAGAAGGAGAAGAAAAGAAGAAGAAGAAGAAGGAGGAGGAGGAGGAGGAGGAGGAGGAGGAGGAGGAAGGAGAAGAGGAAGGGGAAGAGGAAGGGGAAGGAGAAGAAGAAGGGGAAGGGGAGGAGGAGGAAGAAAAATAAGGATTGTAAAAATAACTTGAAGCTCTGACTGTGAGTGCATAACCTTGGATTTACTTCGTGGCTACAGTGTATAGAATGAGTCTATGCCCTGTGGTTTCTGTGAGGAAGAGTGGTATAGGTGAGGAAAGGCATGGGACAGTTGGATCTGGGTCACTACCTCATGCCTTACATGTCATTTTCTTTTTCAACTTTGATCACTTCTCATTGTCAAGGTAGCAATGTCATCAGAGGTACAACCTGAACTTCTTCTGTCCCTTTCCTGAAGTTTAGTCCAGCAGTTGGTATTTATCAGCTTGCAGAGATAGAAACTAGACGGCCTGTCATAACAGATAATAATTTAAATTTTCATTTTTGGAATCAATTTTGTGGTTGGGTATGAAATCAAATGACAAGGAAAGATTCAGAAAACCAAATAGGATGAGGGAAGGGCAGCACACTGGTGGCTCACATCTGTAATCCGAGTTACCCAGGAGGCTGAGATCTGAGGATCACAGTTCCAAGCCAACCCAGGAAGAAAAGTCTATGGAGGCTGAGATCTGAGGATCACAGTTCAAAGCCAACCCATGCAGAAAAGTCTATGAGTCTTTTATCTCCAATTAACTACCAGAAAACCTGAAGTGGAGCTGTGACTCAAAAGTAGTAGAGCTCTAACCTTGAGCAAAAAAGCTCAGGGACAGTGCCCAGGCCCAAATTCAAGCCCCATGACTAACCCCCAAAAAAGGAAAAGAAAAGATGAGGGAGAGGGATGATATCCTTGGTATTATCCTTGGCTTTTATTTATAGAACAAATAGGTAGACAGGAAAGGTACTAAAGGCCTCACCCATGGAGAAAAACTTCTAGGTTACTTCTTCAATATCCTCACCAGCTCCTCTTGGATGGATTCTGCAGACCAGAACATTCCTTAATTCTATGCCCCCTTCAGAGCTCAACCTTCATGGTTTCAGAAGACTAATCAAGGCAGTCTTCTAAATCTATATTATTAATAGATAACCAGGAGCCAAAAGGTGACACGCATTTGTGTTTGTGTTATTTTAAGTTTTAAGCTCTTATGGTAATCATAGAGTCTCTCTGAGTTCACAAACACAGCACAGATGCCAAGTACTGATTAAATGGCTCTACTGCTTTATAGACAATAAACACATTTCCAGAAAAAGAGAAATTCAGGCAACTGGGAGAACAAAAGCAGAACAATTTTCAA